TCAATAAATTTTGACTTCGTGGAACAAACCCAACGGGACTATGTTAATGACTTGCTGACAGTATCTCCCTTAAAAGCTAAGTCTTGCAGATGCTGCCACATGTSGGGAAATCAGTTCACTTAAAAATCAAACCCTGGGGGCTGGGGATGTGGCTCAAGCGGTAGCGCGCTCGCCTGGCATGCATGCGGCCGGATTCCATCCTCAGCACCACATACAAACAAAGATGTTGTGTCCGCCGAAAACTAAAAAAATTAAAAAAAAAAAAATCAAACCCTGGGGGCTGGAGTCTTGGCTCAGTGGCAGAACACTCTCGCCTAGCGTGTATGAGGCACTGGGTTCGATTCTCAGCACCACATATAAATAAATAAATTAAAGGTCCACTGACAACCAAAAAAAAAAAAAATTTAAAAATCAAACTCTGATCCTTTGATACACTAGAACAGCCACTAGTGGACCTGAAGACCCTCATAATCCCCCCCCAAAGACTGACTTGGAGGTGGAGGGAGTTTGGAGAATTACAGGGGCAGTGGAAGCGCCCAGTGCTGAATCATGAGCTAATATGAGTCAGCTCAGTTTTGAAAGTCATATTATCTGGCTCTGCTCTAGCAGGGTGCCAGGTTCCATTCAGTCTTGTAAATCTTGCAGGGCTGCCAGGAAGCAAAGCTGGAACATTCTAAAGCCAGCAGCGCCACTGCGAGGCCAGCTGCAGGCGGCGGTAGGTGGGCACCCGCTCTACGCGGCAGGCCGGGCCTGGGGTGCAGCCTCCGCTCCCCAAGAAATTCTYACCCCTCGGAGAGTCTGGATTTGGGTGGATTAAGGGGTGGCAGTTTGTGCTGACTCCATTAGCCCAATATGCCCTGGAAGGGGCTGGTTCTTCCGTTTATCTGTAGGGCTGCATCCACTAGCCATGTTCGGGGGCAGAGCCGCACACAAAGTGCCCCCAAAACGTGAGTGAACGATGGCGCCCCACTGAGTGACTGTTCAGGGCTGCAAACACCACATTTATGGTAGATTCTGCCGGTGTAGGCTTCATGAACGCGAGCCCAGTCTTTAGAATTAAGACCAACGCAAGGAGACAAACTACTGACAGCGACCCTTCTGAGGAGGCGGGGTACGGAGCACACCGACTGATGGTTATGCAAATAATGGACTCCAGCCGGGACTCTGGTCTCGAAGACTACAAGTTCCAGAATGCATCTCCGGCCCCAACGTAGGGAGAGATCGAGGCTGGGAGAGCATTGCCTGCTGGGAAGCGTAGTGTTGGGCTTGTTTGTGATGCAGGAGTTACTAGTGGGGAGGGGGAAAGGTAGTACACTGTTACCACGTGACACTCGGGCTCCTGTGGTTGGTCCAGCCTCCGCTCGGGAGCTGTGATTGGCTGGATCTAATACGAACGACGCCACTAGGGGCGGGCCGCAGAGGGGCGCAGGCGCATTGCGTTGCGAGTCTCGGGACCCCTCTCGAAGAGACTATGGCGCTCAACAAGAACCACTCGGAGGGCGGCGGAGTGATCGTCAACAACACTGAGAGGTGAGAACACTGCGGAAGGATCCTGGAGAACCGAAGGACGGATGTCCAGGCGGTGGGCGGTGGGCGGTGGGCGGTGAGGAATAAATCCTGGAGGAGAGAAATTGATGGAGCGCGGTGGGGGGGTAACGGCCGGGGGCGGGGCTGCTGTCAGCTGGGGGCCGGAGGCGGGGGTAGGGCGGCGGGATGGGGACGGGGTTTGGGGCTAGCAGTGGGGCCTAGGGGCGCTGCTTGAGCCTTTTGCTGAGAGGCGCCTTAAAAAAAATAATTGCTGTTTATCAGGCGTTTACTGTGTTGCTACTACGCGGCAGCCACTGCGCCTCTTCTGAAATACATAAATCTTGTGCGGTAGGTACTATTATACACACGTCACACAGGTAGGAAAATACAGACCCAGGGAGGTTAAATAACTTGACCTAGATTTGAAGTCTGAATAACAGATGGGAATTCCAAAAAAGAGGTCTTGACCCCGGTGTCCGTAGGCTTAACAGTAAACACCCTTTGAGTGTATTCCAAAACAGCTCAGGTTTCAAGTGAAAAAATCTCAAACCCCACAGATAAAATTAAACAGGTAACGTTTGTCAACTGCCTAACAGTTGCTGGTGTGAGTCTGAGCCCTTGTAAGGGTTAGCCTCTTTCCTTTTTTTTTAAAGATAGTTGATACTTTTAATCTCATTTTATTATTAGTTACTGGTTCTGTCTCTTTTATTTAATTTATTTTTTAAAATTTTATTTATTTTTTATTTTATGTATTTTATTTATTTTTTAAATGTGGCACTGAGAATTGAACCCGGTGCCTGCTGAACACGATGCCTCACATATGGTAGGCAAGCCCTCTACCGCTGAGCTACGACCCCATCCCAGGCTCTTTCCTCCTGAATGCTCTTGGCTAATATCACTCCACAGAGCAGAGGTTCTCTGAACTTCAGGGTTCTTTCTGATCTACCCTCCTCACTACTTCCCGATTCATTCTCTCTCTCTTCTAATTCCTGGGCTGCTGCTTGAAGGTAGAAGAGCTTAGGAGGAAAAGCTGAGTCTACAAGGGAAACGGGCTGGAGCCAGAGACTTCACCTCAGCTAAGGCCATGGCTTAGTCTGGAACCTGTCACTTAGGAAGACTTGATGAGTCAGATGAGAAGGCCCAGGGTGACCCAGACCTCAGAATGCAGACTTTCTCTCCATGTTACCCTCTTCAGGGTCTGATGTTCTTGGTGAATACTTCTCTTATTGTGCCAGTTCTCTTCCCATTTACTCCTTTCTTGTCAAGAAAGTTGTGATATTTGGGAGAATGAAGACAATGGAACKGGTGAACTTGGACCTTTTGATCATGTAATCTGAGAAACCTCACAGTGCTCACTGGTTTATTGCGATTCTCAGTGTGAACCAGTTCCTGGGCCTGCACACTTTTGATTCCATTTAGTAACATCTACCAAGCCTGTTTTTCTTAGTGTGATGACTTCTTCTTTTTTTTTTTTTTTTTTTAATGGTACTGAAGAGTGAACCCAGGGGCACTGTACCACTGAAAAAAAACCTTTTTTTTTTTTTTTTTTTTTTTTTTTTTTTTAAATACAGGTTCTCCCTAAGTTGCCCAGGCTAACCTCCAACTTGTGATCTTTATGCCTCAACCTCCCCAGCAGAGGGGTTTCTGGCATGTGTCACCCTTCACAGCTTAGTGGATGTGCCTTGTTTTGGAAAGCACTTCAGCATCATTTCTGGAAAAAGAAAAATTTGCATCTACTGAGGGTACTGACACACATCTGTAATTCCAGCAACCCAGGACTAGAGATGAGCTCAGTGGTAGAATGCCCATAGATTCAATCCCTAGTATCAAATAAATAAGTCTATAATAATTGAAGTTTAAAYACAGTGTTTAAAATTTAATATTTAGAATGCCAAACTTTGCCTGGTTCAGTGGTGCATACCGGTAGTCCCAGCTTCATGGTAGGCTGAGGCAAGAGGATCACAAGTCTAAGACTAGCCTGAGCAACTTAGCAAGACCCTATTTCAAAATAAAAAATAGAAAGGGCTGGGATGTAACTCAGTGGTAAAGCATCCCTGAGTTCACTCCCCAATATCCACCCCCCACCACACACACACACACACACACAATGGTGAACTTCCTTTTTTGTGATGCTGGGGATTGAATCCAGGACCTCATGGTAAATTTTATTTTTTAATTCATGAACCCAAAGCTGTGAAATGTCCTAGAAAAATGCACACACATCATTTTTTTTTAAAGAGAGAGAATTTTTTAGTATTTATATTTTAGTTTTCGGCGGACACAACATCTTTGTTTGTATGTGGTGCTGAGGATTGAACCTGGGGCCGCACGCATGCCAGGCGAGGTTGCTACCGCTTGAGCCACATCCCCAGTCCGCACACACATCATCTTTTCAAGAATGGACCAGCATCCCTGCTGACCTAGCTTAAGAAGCCCCTATGTAAGGGAGCCCTGGAGAAAGCAATGTGTGGAGTCATGTCTTAGAGTCTTAAATGTGTTCATTTATTAGGCTTAAAAAGCCAACAAAGCTGGGCATGGTAGTGCACACCTGTAATCCCAGCTGCTTGGGAGGCTGAGGCAGGAGGATCGTGAGTTCAAAGCCAGCCTCATTAATGGCAAGGCACTAAGCAATTCAGTGAGACCCTGACTCTAAGTAAAATAAGAAATAGGGCTGGGGATGTGGCTCAGTGGTTGAGTGTCCCTGAGTTCAATCCCCAATACCCCCCCCAAACAAACAAACAAAATAACAAAAATAGAACATCTATCACAGGACTTAAAACAGCACCTTGAAGGATGAGCCCTGCAGTTCTGCTACTGTGCTGGTCACTTGGGTTCTGTATGAGTGGGGTTTGGGAAAATTCTGTGGACCCAAACTTGCTCAACTCTTCCATGGCTGTCTTATGATTTCTTTGCAGCCATGTTGGAATGTGCTGGGCAACCTCACCYAGTGTCTGGGGGTAACAGATGACATCTCCAACTATCTCATTAGAGCCTCTCTTCTTTTCTTATCACAGCATCCTAATGTCCTATGATCATGTGGAACTTACATTTAATGACATGAAGAATGTTCCAGAGGCCTTCAAAGGGACCAAGAAGGGCACTGTTTACCTTACCCCTTACCGGGTGAGTTGCGCAGCAGGACAGTTGGATTGGAGGCTGATTGCATTTGRAGGGTGACATGTGTCTTAGCCTCTGCCTTGTGAGTCAGCTGACCTCTGAACCCTGATGAATATTGGTGCCTTGTTCCTCCTGTTTCTCTTGTCACATGCTCCTGCATTCTAGAATCACCTGACTCTGTGCAGCTGAACTACTAGGCTGTGAATTCATGCAGATTCCAGAGCCACTGTCAGAAAAATCTGTCTRGTGTTGGATGCAACTGCTGGAATGACTTGGGCCTAGAGTAGCCTGAGGCCTGTGTGTGTATCCRGAGGGATAGATGTGGTAAACAGGATACAGTAGCATGGCCACAACTTCCGGACTGGGCACTGAGCCCAGCAGAACCCTGCAGAGAGAAATGCCAGACAGCAGAATGGGCCTAGCCTGCATTCACCATACAGACTCCGAGGGTAACACAAAGCGTGTAGTCTCAGAAAAGAGTTACTGCCTGTAGCTAGCTACTAGTGAGACTTCAAGATGGCTGGAGGAAGGGGAACACATCTTTTTTTTTTTTYTTTAAATATTTATTTTTTAGGTGAACACAATGTCTTTATTTTACTTTATGTGGTGCTGAGGATCGAACCCAGGGCCTCACACGTGCTAGGCAAGCACTCTACCACTGAGCCACAACCCCAGCCCCAGGGGAACACATCTTTAGGTGTCTGTCACCATAACTTACATAGGTAGGGACTCAAAATCCCATCTCTGGAAACTCAATTGATATCTTCAGTTAAATTGAATATACCTGGTGGTTTTGAAACCCAAGGGGTTCTCCAGGCACAGGACAGGAGAGCTCTTGTTGCCATTGGGCAGAGTGTCATCTGCAGGAAGGTCACAAAGGCCCTTTCTCCAGAGCTCTGAGGCCCTGCCACTCCATCGTTCTCTAAAAGGCCAGGCCAAGCCTCCCCTGTCCAGGCCCCTGCTTGCCTGTCCCTGCCTATGCTTCCCCAGCTTTGGAGGTCCTTTCACGTCTGCACCATGTCTGCCATCTTCTCTCTTACTTAACTGAAGCAGTTTGTCCAGTTCACATGTTCTGTCTGTGATTGGGACATTGTTCTTGTGACTTCCACGTCTGGCCTSTCCAGGGTGCATGTGACTCTGTCCAGAAGCGTCTGGTGCAAAGAGAGCCCTGAGCCTGCTGGGCCTGGCATGGGCACGAGCTCCCAACTGGGAATAGACTCCACACACAGGAAGCAGGTGGGAAACAATGGCCTAGCAGGCTGCAGTTCCAGCACTAATGGCCCTTGTCCTTTCCCACCACAGGTCATCTTTCTGTCCAAGGGGAAGGATGCCATGCAGTCCTTCATGATGCCATTTTATCTCATGAAGGACTGTGAGATCAAACAGCCTGTGTTTGGTGCAAACTACATCAAGGGGATGGTGAAGGCTGAAGCAGGAGGTGGGTGACAAGGATGCTCAGGGACATCAGTGCTGCCTTGGGAACATCCTCTTCAAACTCTTACTGCCCCAGCCTTGTCCCCTTCCATGCTCCAGATTACCTTCAAAAGGAATATCTGGGCTGCCAGCCGACCAGCCTGCGTGGGTTTTTGGTTGCCAAGAGCTGGGAAAGGCTGGCATAAGAGTTGGCAGTTCAGATCACCTCTTCAGAGAATAAAATCAGCAAAAAGACCAAAAACTAAGTAAGATGCCTATTGTGCCCTGGGGAGCATGTGCAGATTTTAGATGGGGGAAGGAGCTGTGTCCTGTTTTTGGAGGGACCTTCTCCTGAGAACAAGCAAAGGCAGCTGCCCTCTGGGAAGCTGGAGAAGCCCTGCCCTGTGGCTGACACTTGTACAGACACTGGAGACCTCCTCATGGACCCTGCCTTCCCCTCACACCTTCCTAGGCCCAAGCTTTCTCTTGGTTCCCCTTTGGACAGACGCCAAGCTAGAGGGACCAGGGTTCATGCTTAGGCCCCCTCAGAATGAGAGGTCTGCTCTGAACTTGAATGGCAGTTAATGCTGAGTGCTTTTGCTCTTGGAAGCTGCCTGGTACTTCCTTGGGGGTCAAAAGAAACCCCTTAGTATTAGCTCTAAAGCCAAACCATGTGGACTTTGTGCCTGTTACCTCAGGGACTGGGCTGGAAGGTCAAGCTTGTTTCAAGAAGAAGCCTCTGTTCCAAAGGGGGAGGCCGTGATAGCAGGAGCCAGGCCAGTCTGYAGCACCAGGGGCATAGGCTTGGGAAGCAGCCCTGTCTATGCGGAGGAGGCAAGAGAAAGCCTGGCTTTTTCCTGCAGGCTTTGGGGGCATTAGGTGGGACCCTGAAGAATGCAAAGAGCCATCTCTTTCAGTGTACCTGTTTTCTTTTCCTGCACTGTTCATTTGCTGTCTTGCCCCCTTCATAGGTGGCTGGGAAGGCTCYGCTTCATACAAGTTGACCTTCACAGCAGGGGGCGCCATCGAGTTTGGTCAGCGCATGCTCCAAGTGGCATCTCAAGGTATTCAGGCTCTAGAAATTAGGGACCAAGGACACATTGGACATGTGGGTTTTTTGTTTGATCATGTTTCCTTTTGTTTTGTAAGCATCAGAAGATATATCTGACCCTGCTGACCAGGGCTGGGAGTTGGGGACAAAGCCTGTAATTTCTGCTCGGTCCTATACCTCAAAGCCTGGGCCTCTTCTGCCTGGAGCAGGTGTACTACACTCTGACAGATCTATTTGGACTTGACATTTTACTGTGGCCTCACACAAACAAACAAAAAACCCAACCATTAAACCATTAAACAACCATTTTAAGTTACCAAGTACTGTGYTCAGCAGACAGCCTCACCTGGCTCCTCCTCTACCCCTCCCGAGCCTCCTTCCTTCCCTCCATTCACCTCCATCCCTGTCCCCCTCTCTTGCCTTGCCTCATCCCTGACAGAGCCAGACCCATGTATGGGTGGAGAGTGGAACAGAGGGTAGGCCTGTCTGCTGGCACATTCCTGGGTGCCAGCAGCTCCCCAGCAGGCAGTGGGGCCGCCCTCTGCCAGCCCTGAGGCAGGTGGCACTCATCTCTCTCTCCCCTTGTGCTTATAGCCTCCAGAGGTGAAGCCCCCAATGGAGCCTATGGGTACCCTTACATGCCCAGCGGGGCCTATGTCTTTCCCCCGCCAGTCGCCAATGGAATGTATCCCTGCCCTCCTGGCTACCCCTATCCACCGCCCCCACCTGGTGAGTGTGTCCTTTGCTGCCCACCCTCAACCCACCCACCCACTCAACCACTAACCACTTCCCCCAGGCCAGGGGGTGCAGAGGGGAGACCCGTAACTAACAGATGCTGGAGAGGTGCAGAGGCTGCCCCTGAGGAGCTATATGGGGCAGCTCCCAGGAGGCAGCCTTCTGAGGGAGCCAGGCCTGACTAGTCATTGGGTCCCTGTTGCTCTCTTGCCAAGCAGAGTTCTATCCAGGAGCTCCTGTAATGGATGGGGCCATGGGATATGTGCAGCCCCCACCACCACCCTATCCTGGACCCATGGAGCCTCCAGTCAGTGGCCCTGATGTCCCCTCCACTCCTGCAGGTAAGGCCCCTGGGCTGCCAGCAGTCCTTTGAAACCAACCCTCTCTTCTCTAGGGCCTAGGACCTTGCAGGAGCCCCTGGCCTAGGAACCAGCAGGGAGGTGGCCTGGTGGTGAAAAGCTAGATGCTRGTTCTCTCTGTCCCTTAGGTAGCTGAGTGACCTACCTATTCAGCTCAGGCTCCTCCATGTATAAACAGATGATCATGGGGCCACTAGTGGGCTTGTGTCAGGGGTTAAGGCATGTAAGGGACTGGAAAAAAAGTGCCAGCATGTGGCAGTTGCTTAGAAAACTCAACTGCCGCTTTTTTATTGGCCGTCTGGGTCACCAGCATTACTGCCCTGAGCCTGGGGGCTGGGAGGAGAGGGCTTGCCACCAATGCTTACTTTGTGTTTGCTCTCCAGCTGAGGCCAAGGCCGCAGAAGCAGCTGCCAGCGCCTATTACAACCCAGGCAACCCACACAACGTCTACATGCCCACGGTGAGTGGGAGTGGCCRTCCCCTCGGCCATAAAGACAGGGAGTTGGGCGGGACGATGGGCCTCCTCTTATTCTAAGAACGTTCTAACATGATCTTTCCTTCCTTCTTTAGAGCCAGCCTCCACCACCTCCCTACTACCCTCCAGAAGATAAGAAGACCCAGTAGACCCCGCCTACTTCCCTGTCCCCACCTCATGGGCCTCCCCTACCCCTCCTTGTGGGACTGCATCTGGCTGGGGGAGGCCAGGGAGGACCTTATTCTTCCCCAGGTCTGATGATAAAGAGTTCCCAGGAACTAGTGTTGCAGGAAGGCAGGGCTCTGGCCTCTGGAGAGGTGTCCCCCCAGCTTCCCACACTAGCTCAGCCCACAGCGCCCCTCTTACCATTTCTGGGGCTGTCCTTGGGAGCACGGGGTGTTCCCCTTGTTCCTGTTTCACTCTAGTAGTTCCTTCCCACAGAGGGACTCTCTGGCCACCTCCTCTGTTGCAGTCCAGCCCCTTGGTCTGGTAGCCATTCTGCACTCAGCCTTGTGAGCCCCCCCAGACCAGCCACATGTCTTCCCTGTGGGCCAAAAAGGCCCTACCAGTCCCAACTCACATTCCTTCCCSTGTCTGTGCTTAGCTCTGGAAGGCCACTGCCCCACCTGACCATCAGTGCACATTCCATTCAGCCAGGCCTGCCTTCCCTGTCCGTGGTCATTCTRTTGCCACTTCTGATTGCAGGAGCTTTACAACAAGCCTCCAGGGTTTAGTGGCTTCCGGGGAAGCCCACTGCGGCTGGGGATGAGGCTCCTCTGTTCTCTTGCTAGTGTTTCTGGAATTTGTTTTCCCTCTAGTCTCTTCCCTCTACGAGGGGCTTCTCAACTGGAGCCGAAGAGTGCATGTCCATCCCATCATGCCATTTGGGGGCTGCGGGGTGGGCTCAGAACAAAGGGCCCCCAACCCTACATGCTGATCATAGCCTGCTGCCGGCCCCTCCCTTTAAGCATCATGCCCCCTGGATGCACGGAGATTTGCTCATTTGTTCCTGGACCAGACACCAAGGGAGGAGAGATGGTTATTTAAAGAGAATTCCCTATTTATTTGACAAAAAAAAAAAAAAAATCCAGTTAATATATTAATGTGAAATAAACCCTGTTTGCACCTTGATTTGTTTGCTAAAACTGTGAAATAGTAAAAATGAAATAACTGGACCTTTTTGGCTGTGTGTGCTGACCAAGGGGAACCTTTTGAAGAAGAGCTGTTGAGCTGCTGAGGAGACTCTTCCTTCCTGGAGTGAGAACCTCTTGTTCTCTGGGCCACCTCCCCACTGAGGCCCATGCACCTGGCTGGGGTGGCCAGTGGTGCCGCCCAGCACCTGGGTGGAAGAGGCAGGCAGGGCCAGCCTTTGTCCCACCTGCCGACTCTCCGTAGAGTTGCATTTCCAGCCCCAGGCTCAGAGCAGGAATCTGAGAGGAGGTGGTTTAGGGTCCCTGGAGCATGCTGGACCCTCTTTGAAGCCTGGCTGGGACAGCTGGGTGGGTCACTGCAGTGTGTGACCTGGTACTGCCTTCCTGAATACCTGAGTGTTGGGGAGRGTGGGAAACATTCTGTGCTCCACTCCAGCCCAGGCAGTGGGCACAGGGTCAGTGGGTTGGGGAGCTCTGGGATGCTGGTGCTAAAGTCTATTTTCCTGTCCCCAGTAGACCAAATCTGCCCTCTTGGAGAGATTGGCAGGAGGGCTTCTCCCACTTCTTCTACCGCCAGCCCTACCCAGGAGCTCTCAGGGTTTGGCTAAGCTCCCCTACAAGGGAATTTGACCTTCATGGTGGAGTTGAGGCTACAAGGAAGTCCCAGGCTGGTACAGTTTGGCCCCAACGTCACCTCCATGGAATGTCACCTGTGGGGTGAAGCAGGCTGAGCAGTTGGCTGCCAGCTGGGAAACTGTGTCTCAGTTTGAGCTTGCCCCACCCCTGCCCAGGTCTGGGACCCATTCTGTCTGGGTAGCCTGGGGTGAGAACCCCTRGGACCAAGGTTAGCTCCCCTGGGTGTAGTAGAGTTGATGGGGGAGGGTGCCCTACTGGGAGCACGGGACCATCCCTAAAGCCTCCGTGGGAGGGTGGGGTGGGGCTTACCCGCCTACAGTGTCCACTTTCTGCTCCAGGATAGACAGGCTCCTGCAAGSATCTGGGCTGGAGGAAGGTGCAGGGGACCTGGGAGACAGCCTCTCCAAGGCAGTGACACCCTGACCCTTCTGTCYCCCCCACTGCGCTCCCTCCACCCTTCCGAGGCAGAGGGTGGCAGCCTTGGGGCTCTTTGCATCATCCTGTGGCTTCACCGTCTTCACTCAGCAGCAGCAGGGCGGCAGAGGGAAGGGCAGAACCAGCCACCATGGCGACAAGCCTCTCCCACCCCCAGCGTCGCCCTCCCCTCTTGCGCCAGGCCATCAAGATAAGGCGCCGCAGGGTCAGAGACCTACAGGATGCCCTGCCTCCARCAACCCAGGAGGTAGGAGTGACCTCAATGGGGAGAACAGCTGGCCTTGGGGACTCAGCAGGCATGGGTGCCTGGCCCCACCTACCCGTCCACCCTGCCCCTGGGCAGAGCCTTCTGGGTCAGCAGGGTGGGTTTGCCACATGTCCTCTGAGCCACCATGAGAGTCTCAGGTTGGGGGCCCGAGCCTCTCTAGCCCCCTTTCCACAGTGGGCCTGCCCTCCCTCTCCTGCTCCCCTAGTTCCAAAGGAACTTTGCTGTGAGGCAGGTGTCCCTGATGTGGGGTGGGCTGCCTAGGGACCCCTCTGAGCTACCTCAGGCTTGCTCGGCATCCCCCCAAGTCTCCCACCTCRGCTGCAGGGCCTCACTTCCGCCACAGGGCTGAGCAGGCGGCTGCCTGATAAGCAGAGCTGTTTCCTCTGGGGAAGGAAGAGAGTGTGGGGGCAGGTGGCAGAGGGCTGTGCTGCTGGGCCAGCTGAACGCCCATGGACCTCAGCCTCAGCAGGCCAGGGGACGAGCAAGGTGGCCCAAGGGCCAGACCCCAAGGAGGCCTGTTGTGGGAACAGGTGTGGGGCTTCASCGGGCTTGAAGGGTGTGCTGGGGACCCACTGCACTAGGCCTGGGCCTTCCTGTCCCTCCAAGCAGGCCTCCAAGGACACCTTGTCTTTCCACCTTGCTCCCCAGATTGAGCCTCCATCCCACCACTTCTCCCCTGAGGAGGTAAGAGTCGGAGTGATGGGGGGTGCGGAAGAGTCGGAATGATGGGGGTCGCAGAGAGGTGCGGGGAGCAGCCCTACGTCCTCCTGAAAGCCCCTCCATCACTGGCCAAGGCTGATGGCGGCAACCTGGGAGGGACTTCTGAGCCTCAACCCCCTTCACTGCACATGGGCTGCCTGTCTCTGCTCTGGGCTTGAGGGGTTGCTGTAAGGGGTTCCTTGGGCTGGGGAGTTCCTGATATGACCCTGCTGTGCCTCAGCGGGACCTGCTCTATGAGGAAGCACTCTACACTGTCCTGCACCGCCTGGGTCAGCCGGAGCCCAACCATGTGACCAAGGCCTCGGAGCTGCTGGGATATCTACAGGAGGTGAGCCCAGCCCCAACCCCTCCACCTTCCCGCAGCCTGGACCCCGGGGGCTCTGCCTTCTCGCCTGACCCCTGCCCTCAAACTCCCACACACTATCTGCCTCCCCACCAGGCCTTCCAGCTGCAGCCTGAGGAGCACCAGCAGATGCTGCAGCGGGTCAGGGAGCTTGAGGTAACTTGGGCCAGGGCATCCCAGGCAAGGAAGGGCCTGGGAAGGCCAACCCTCTCGGGGACTCAGGCCACTCCCTCCCATCCCTCTAGAGGCCAGTATTTTGTCTGAAGGCAACAGTGAAACAGGCCAAGGGCATCCTGGGCAAGGATGTCAGTGGTGAGTGCAGGGTGGTGAGCCCTGAGCCCTGCTTCCTAACTCCTTTCTGTCCCATCACAGTCTGACCCAGAACTCCTGGCAGGAGCTCCTGTCTCCCAAATGTCTCCAGGACTGGCCTCCATCTAGCTGGTCCCTGGCACTTGGCATCTGGGCTGGGGAGGTGGTGCTCTGTCCAACTTTCCCTGTCCCTCTCTCAGGAGAAGCTCCTCAGGGGGGCTGAAGAGGGACCCTCCCAGGGAGCCCAGCCAACTCTGTGGTGCCTCATCCATCCTCTCTCCTCCCCAGGGTTCAGTGACCCCTACTGCCTGCTGGGCATCGAGCAGGGGGTGGGTGTGCCAGGGGGCAGCCCTGGGTCCCGGCGTAGGCAGAAGGCGGTGGTGAGGCATACCATTCCTGAGGAGCAGACCCACCGCACCCAGGTTGTCAACCAGACACTCAACCCTGTCTGGGAYGAGACCTTTATCCTGTACGTGGCCCTGCCCCAGCCCCCCTCCCCATACTCTCAGGACTCCTCAGGCAGTCAGATGAGTGGCTCTGGAGAAGGGGCTGGGCCCTGGGCGGGGGAGACAGAGTAGGCCAGACAGGACAGTCCTGGTGTTGATGGGGCTGGGTGGAGTCCCTCCAGGTGCATTGGGGATAGCCTGAGGCCCCACCTTGCAGGGAGGAGGGATGGGGAGTAGCAGCTGGCAGGAAGGTGCCAAGTGGGAGTGGGCATATTGTGGGGATGGCAGCTGTGAAGGACAGGATCTGGAGTCCTTGTGGTCTGGTCTGGTGAGGGTCCTACGCTTCCAAGGCCCTCAACTACACCCTTTTCTCCCTCTAGGGAGTTTGAGGACATAACCAATGCGAGCTTTCACCTGGACATGTGGTGACTGAGATGGCCTGCTCCTGGGGATGGGCAGAGAAGGGCTGAGGGTGGAAAAGTCTCCTCCTGAAAGGGTGATGGGCACCCTGTCTGTCTCTTATTCAAACCTCTGCCCCACCAGGGACCTGGACACTGTGGAGTCTGTCAGACAGAAGCTTGGGGAGCTCACAGATCTGCATGGGCTCCGGAGGTGGGTGCTGGACTCATGGGAAAGAAGGGGACTCCCTCTGCCCTCCTGCCACGTACTCCATCATTGGGTCCACGCTGGCTACTGGTGGGGGGCAGATTCTACCCTGATCCCTTCAGGTACTTGATCCATCTCCCTCATGGATCCTGCCTGAAACAGGATCTTTAAGGAGGCTCGAAAGGACAAAGGCCAGGAYGACTTTCTGGGGAACGTGGTTCTGAGGCTGCAGGTGAGGGGGAGGRGGAATGGGGCCTGGGTAGAGGTGMAGGGGGCATGTGTGAAGGCTCTGGAGAGGGGCTCCAGGTGCCTGGGGTCTGCCCCACTGCCTCCGGCCCCAGGCTCCAGGTGTCTCCTGCCCACCAGGACCTTCACTGCCGAGAGGACCAGTGGTACCCCCTGGAGCCCTGCACCGAGACCTACCCAGACCGTGGCCAGTGCCACCTCCAATTCCAGCTCATTCACAAGAGGGTAGGTCTGGGGCCTGGGCCAGGAACTGAGCCCCGCAGCCTCAGTGGCCCTGCTGTGTTGGGTCTTCTCTGCTCACAGCCATCCTTGCCTCATTGCAGAGAGCCACGGCAGCTAGCCGCTCCCAGCCCAGCTACACTGTGCACCGCCACCTGCTGCAGCAGCTTGTGTCCCATGAAGTCACCCAGCACCAGGTACTGCCTTCCCAGGGCTGGGTGCTGCCAGGGTTGCCAAWCAGGTCCTAATACCTCACCACTATTCCCCTCAGGCGGGCAGTACCTCCTGGGATGGGTCACTGAGTCCCCAGGCCACCACCATCCTCTTTCTCCATGCCACGCAGAAGGACCTATCTGACTTCCACCAGTCCATGGCGTGAGTGCACAGCCCTGGTGGGACCCTAGGGGGCTGTTGGCGGCTGGCAGGCTCCTGTATTCTGCTGGAAGCTCAAAGCCTCACACTTAGGAGAGTTCTCTTTGCCCCAAATTGCATGTTTTAAATCAGTGGCCAACTTCTTAAAAAATCTGGAGGGCTGGGGATGTGGCTCAAGAGGTAATGCGCTCACCTGGCATGCATGTGGCCCGGGTTCGATCCTCAGCACCACATACAAAGATGTTGTGTCCGCCGAGAACTAAAAAATAAATATTAAAAAATTCTCTCTCTCTCTCTCTCTTAAAAAAAAAATCTGGAGATTTCACATATAATCC